CCTTCCACCTCAGCCTTCCAAGGTAGCTGGAATTACAGGCATGCGCTACCACGCCCGGCTGATTTTTTGATTTATTGTAGAGATGAGGTCTAGCTGCCCAGGCAGGTCTTGAACCCGCGGGCTCAGGCAATCCACTCACCTCAGCCTCCCAAAGGCACGGGATTACAGGTTGAGCCACCGAGCCCGGCGATAGCTAGAATTTTTGAACAAAGTACCAGAAAGGAAGACACTATGCAGAAGAAAAGTTCCAGGCCAGGTGTGTTGGCTCATGCCTATAATCCCAGCACTTTGGGAGGCCAAGGCAGAAGGACTGTTTTAACCCAGGAGTTCGAGACCAGCCTGGGCAACATGGTGAGACTTGTCTGTATAAAAAAAAATTTTATTTATTTATTCTTTTTTTTTTAGTTGAAGTCTCACTCTGTCACCCAGACTGGAGTGTAGTGGCCACTCCCAGCCACTGCAGCCTCGACCTGCTGGGCTCCGGCGATCCTTCCGCCTCAGCCTTCCAAGTAGCTGGAACTACAGACACATGCTACCATGCCCGGCTGATTTTTTTTGATTTATTGTAGAGATGAGGGTCTCACCAAGTTGCCCATGCAGGTATCGAACCCTCGGGCTCAGGCAATCCACTCACCTCGGCCTCCCAAGGCACGGGATTACAGGCTGAGCCAACGAGCCTGGCCAAATTTTTTTTTAAATTAGTCAGGCATGGTGACACACACCTGTAGTCCTGCACTGCCTGTTGCCCAGTGTCTAAAAAAAGTTGCTTTATATATTGTGTCTAGTTTTCTCATTTCTCATGGTGGGAGGGCAAGTCCTACAGCAATTTCTCCATCAAGGGTAGAAGTAAAAGTTGCAGAAGCCTGAGCCCAGGAGATGGAGGCTGCAGTGAGCTTTGAGTGCCACTGTACTCTAGCCTGAGTGACAGAGTGAGACCATCCTGGGGAGGGAGGGAGGGAAGGAGGAGGGAAGAAGGGAGTGAGTTCCAAAAATCTGGATAGTGGTCAATTTTGGATGATGATGATGATGATGATGATGATGATGATTACTACTGTTATTATTATTTGAGATAGGGTCTCACTCAGTTACCCAGGCTGGAGTACAGTGGTGCAACTGTAGCTCAATGCAGCCTCATACTACTGCGGTCAAGTGATCCTCCTGCCTCAGCCTTCTGAGTAGCTAGGACTATAGGCACATGCTACCATGCCCAGTTAATTCTTAAGTTTTTTGTTGAGACAGGGTGTTGCTACGCTGCCTGGGTTAGTCTTGAACTCCCGGCCTCAAGCAATCCTCCCACCTCAGCCTCCCAAAGTACTCAGATTATAGTCATGAGCTACTGCGCCCACCCAGTTCTGGCTAAATATTAATTTATAAAAGTGTAGATTGATACTGCATGAAGGAAACTGGAAAATAATTTTGAACTGAATGAAAACAAAAATACAATGTATAGAAACCTGAGGGATGCAGTAAAAGCAATGTTTAGAGAGACAGTCATAGTTTTAAATGCTTAATTCAGAAAAGAAGAAAAGTCTCAAAATAATAATAATTAAGAAAGACACATAGGGGAAATGTCATGTGGTGACAGAGGCAGAGAATGGAATGATATAGCTGCAAGCCAAGGAAAGTCAAGGATTGACAGTGACTACCAGAAGCTAGGGAAAAGCAAGGAAAGTTTCCACTCAGAGTCTCAGAAGGAATCAACCCTTCTAACACCTTGATTTTAGATGTCTAGCCTCCAGAACTATTAGCTTACACAGAGTTATCTGCTCGTTTGGGAGAACAGTTCAGGAAACAGGTGGCCGCCAAACTACCAAGAGGCCAGATCCAGGCATCACTGACATTTAGAGATGTGGCTGTGGCCTTCATCCAGATTAAATGGAGACACCTGGATGCCACTCAACAGGCTCGTGCAGTGATGTGATGCTGAAAAGCTATGGGAAACTGGTGTTTGTGGGCTTCTTGCTTTTAAACCAAAACTAATCACCCAGTTGGAGCAAGGGGTAGAGCCTTGGATGGAGGTATAAGAAAATCTAGTGCCAGGCTCGGTGGCTCAGCCTGTAATCCCACGCCTTTGGGAGGCTGAGGTGAGTG